TGGCGAAATTCTCAAAAACACGGTTATCACGAGCTAATTGCATCATAGACAATAATGAAACGATCAATGAATTTCGTCTTGTACTTATACTTTTGTCAAGGAGGTGTACGTGTATACTGGAGGCAAAATAGTATGATCATCATCAAAAACAAACACAATTTCAGCCAATAGAATCGCCTCATAATCGGTTATAATCACTGGTGTAACAACTCAACAAGCTTTCTTTTCTTGCCTTGCGCTAAATAAAGAGGTAAAGTTGTATTAAGTAGGCGTCTTCTACTCTTCAGAGAGGTTTAATAATCACTGGCTCGCAGAAGTTTTCACGTTATAATCGCTGTTTTCGCAAAAAAAGTTGTGACCAAATGTGCGACTGCAGAATTTTGAAAAGAGCGATAATTAAAAAACGCCTATGGGTTTAAGTGACGTCAAAAGACAATTTGATATTTCCTCCCATATGAAGTCCTTTAGAGTCAGAGAGTCCGGTAGACAACAGTGCAACATTAAGTCTTCATGCACGCAATAAATTAATAGAATCTAGAAAGGCTAAGCTAGCAGAGGACAAAAAGACATTCTAACTATTCTATAATGCGGTTAAGGCTGATGCGGCAATCCGTCATGTGATTGCCCCATTTTTTGCGCGCCATCACCGGTTACTCTAACACTAATACCAAACAACTCGATACAAAACAACAATATAGAGCACTTGGACCGAGAATCTTATAACTCCAACTTAGCTCTTCTTCAAGTTATTCCTTCGATTTGAAAGGAAGAGTATAACTTCACGGTTGCGTTTCTTTCAGACCCGGCGTTTTCCAGCCCGTAAGTCCTGAGGGGTTTTGTCTTCCTCTGGTGTGGTTTGACGAAATGGCTACATATCGTAGCGATCTTAGATTATCTGAAAAAAGTTTCGGGTTAAAAATAAAGAGCGTTTCTCAATTTTAGTCTAAGATTTACTTACTATACGTATTTCTTCTTTACCGTTGTTAAGTTTTATAATTTCCTAGAAAGAGGCAGAAGAAGTCTTATACGAATCATTGCATCCGAAAATAACGTGAAAGCTCGGAATCTGTTGGGAAATTTCGACAAACTTATCAACTCCAACTCAGTAGTGACCTACTGGAGTACGTACAAAATGAAAAAAAAAAAATAAAACTCTATTTATTAAAGATGCATTGAAAGAAAAAGATGTTAGTATATATGCATTATCTGCATGTTTTAATGGAATGGTTATTACTAACTTGTTTATTCAAATAATCTAGGAACATGAATCTTACCAAATATAATTAAATGTACGAGAAGAGCACATTATGAAAGTAATCTACTCAGCAGAAAAAAGAAAAAACAAGGGAGAAGAATTATTATTAACTCCTCCAAACAAGGTTAGCATATAATTTATTTAGTAACTTGTTCTCAATGCATAGGTCAGGATTTGTGACACAGGATATAATAGTGATTCTAGTGAAGAGTCATACTCACTATCACCAAGCTCTGAGATTGCACCAAGATCACTTATGAATGTTTTTCTTGAGTTAAAAGACTCTAGTGCTAGTGATGAAGTTGATGATGGTCCTATTTTTAAATCTATAATACTGTATTCTTCCGAAAATAAGCAACACCCTAAAATAATAATAAGCAACACTTCGAAAAAATTGATTATTTTATTATTACAATAAAAAAATTTATAAAATTGTCGGAAAAGATTAATCCGTGATATCAGTCTCACCAATAATGTCAATAATATCATCCTCGCCAATGACGAAATAAGGCTTTTCTACCAGCAGCAACCCGCTTACTTTTCTCCTTTGTTTCGCTTGCCCATTTTGAATGTCAAAGTGTCTTGCTGCTTGGTTATTTCCGTGGTTTTTTGCGTAGGCAATAACCTCCTTTTTATGTACGAATTTCGTGTTCGTTTTACAATTTGGGTCTTACGTTTAACGGTTTTAACAACTCTTCTCTGTTTTGTCAGAAAAAATAAGTTTAAAGCCTGTTTCGCGTATTTACGTGATAAATCACGGATGATGAATCTGAAATTCTATCGACAAAAATCACATAATTCTGTGGTTGCGTGATCGAATTTCTTTCAACTAACCCGAAAATAAGCAACACTATAACAAAAAAGTGTTGCTTATTTTCAGAAGAATACGGTAATGGTGATGATTATATCTTAGAACCTAAGGATAATCATGAACAAAGTAATGTCGAAGTACAACAAAAACTTATTTCAGAATCAGTTGAAGGAAACCATTTTGGAGTAAAACAACATAATAATAACAGTGTACCAAAGCCAAAAGTTACAAGTAAACCTAAGTATATACAGCACGACCGTGCACAAGATTTACTCTCAAGTTTATGCTTGCGTCCTTTAAAAGTAAAGGGAATAAGTGGTTATGAGATCTGTAATACTTTACAAGATAATAAGAATGCTAGAATGTAAGTAGTTTTTTAACATCTGAATATGCTGTCTTATTTTTATTGATTTTGGACAGGCCATTAAACATTGGTGTTGTTGAATTTTCATAACAACTTATGTTAGAACCCCTTCCATCATCAATGATTATCTATATTCAAAAAATGAAGATGTTAACACAGTCTTCTTTGATGGTGGCAAAAAATTTGGAATAAATAAGTTTTCAATTGACATCAATGAAGAAGTTATGATACACCTCTTGCGTATTTTGTAAATGTCAATAAAAAGACGAAAGGATCGATCTTTACCTGGTAAATCAAAACGGAGCAGAATCTCCTTAACATCTTTGCAAAAACGAGAGATGTGTGAAGTTAAATGTGAATATCCGCGCCTTACGCTAGCAGACCTTGCAACACAATTTAAATGTGGAATTAGTACAGTTAGCGATATACTTAAAGTTGGATGGCGATTCAGGATGACAGCCGGAGGAAGACAGAGAGTAATGGAGTTAAAATACATAGAGTCTTAAACAAAAGACTTTAGATAGTTACGTCAGTAAGTATAAGGCCAACTGGCATTCGTCGTGTTCTATATACAATATATTCTATGGCATTGTAATTTGGATAGTTTTATACAAATAAATAGCAATATTAATATACTATTGGTCCATTTATCACCAATCTGCGATACCGAAGATCACATGATTTTCTTCACTTCCCGGTATATATATGGAAAATCTCGTTATACCGGACAAAAACCGCTGTGCCAAACCGTTCGGTATAAACAAAGAGTTGCCTTGACTTGTAATAAGCAAGAATAGCAGACCACCGTTTGGAAAGGATTGGACTACCAAAACTCAATCCTTTTCCATGAATATCACAGAGCGTCAACCTAAATGAAGAAAAAAAATTTTTTTGAAACACGTTTGACTGAGTACCAAGCCGGTTCTTATGCAGCGAAAGTACTGGCTGAACAACAAACCAATATGAAAATCGAATCCGTCCATTTTATGGACGGTTGGGTGCATTTGAATATGGAAAACATTCAAATGAGACGTTGGCTCATGCCCTTACTGAATATGAATATGATTCATATGTGTGGATGCCACTTTTCAAATTTCTAGGTATGTTTAAACATTTGACCTACTGTGTTATTACTACACTTTTTCTGTGATAATTAATTTACATCATAACCACACAATTTAGCAGTGAAGTTTCATCTGTAGCAAAGAACTTCGGCAATTCATGGTTTGGATATCGTTGACAGGCAGATGAGTCACGGAGCGAATGCTCGAAAAGCGCTGTCCCATGCGTGCAGCGCATTTTGCCACGACAAGTTACTTGCCCAACTTCAAACAAAGACGGACTCAAAAGCAATTATTTCAATCAGTCAAGAAGTATTAATACGGGAAAACGGAAGATATGATATTGCAAGTAAAAGGAAGAGTGACTTATCAAAGTTAGAATATTAAATAGGTGTTTTTTTTTCTTTATCTATAGATATTCCTGGTATCACTGATTTTAAAAACATAAGCCGCACCCTGTTCTTTTTTTAAAATGTTTCTAATGGTGCGTAATTCTTTGGTCCCATGGTGGATTTAATGTAAAGTAGTTTTCATATTATATTTTTATATACAGAGATAATCCTATATGGAACATGTTATGATTTATAATGTCAAGTAAAGTTTATGTTGAGTGTCATATAAGTTAATTAAAGAATGCAATTCAAAGTCATAGCCAAAATGTCATTAGTCAGATTAGTTAACCTTCAGCCACATCAGCCTTTCACTTTGTCTGGTTTTGTTGCATGCAGCATACCATATCATCATCGGATTCCAACAATTTTTCTTCTCTTAAATTGACTCATCTTGTTTCCGGTAACAAGGTTTTATATAATTTGGGTTTATTTGACGAGATTCTTCATTTCCATAATTTGTATCCTGATTGCTAATATTTTTTGCGCACTGTCGTATAAACAGTTCTGTTCTAATCACATGTATTAATCTCGGGTTTGCTTTATGCATTCGATCATATGTTATTGATGTGCAAGCAACGATGGCGGTAAAGCGTCTACAATATTATGCCAATTGTTTAAGTAGAGAATGCGCGGCTGTCGATGCATTGATCGTGCTATAACACGACACAAGAACGTGTAGGGCCAAACTATATGATAATGTCTTTCATCGAGACCTTTGTGCAAAAGTTTACTTGAAAGATACTATCAAACCGTCATATGTGCTATCAACGAGAATTGTTTGGCGATTTTTACGAAAACCCATATACGAGCTTGGTCATAGACAATCATCGACAACTAGCCTGTCAATTTTGATGAAAACATCCCAGTAGTTTACAATTGCCATTGATTTTTTAATATTAATTATTAATTAGAAGTAACGTCGGTTTCAGTTAACCGAGTCTGCATTTGCATTATTTTCTTTGTGCAATAAAAATCTAATTCCCTTATGGGTATTAAGATATTAAGTTCTGTATTGTGGCATGGTGTTCTTTTGATTAAGAAGAAACTGAACGACTACTTTCACCAGACTGATTTTCGTTATAATCGTGATTTATTGCATATAGTTGTGTGTACATCCTCACAAGAGATTCGTAGCCCATCGTGTCTCCGCATCTGAGAAGATTTGCTGTATAGGATATGAATAATATTATTACTAGCATCCAGAGAACGGAAACAGACATAAAAGCATCCTTTCGAGAGCCTTACTGCTCTTCACAATAAATTATTACTCACCAGCATCACAGTTTAACGGACTACTCGGTTCCGGATTCGATAACAGTAATCTTATGGCTATACATGCCGATTGTAATGTCCACGCTGGGCTCCACGCATTTTTCAGCACATCTAGACATATCTCTCCTGACTAATAACAACGTAAAATACGATAAAAGATTGATATTCGTACTATTATTGGGAAGGAAGACGGGGAAAAGATTCAAACTTTTACCTTGAAATGTATATTCGGATGACAAATTTTTGTCATAAACTTAATGTTTGGTGGAGCCATTGGATAGTTTCTTGGTATATTTATTCGAAGTTTCCATTGTCCACCTTATAACAGACATAAACACAGTAACGTTCAATATATGAGATAGATCATCAAAGACAGTAATAAACATATCTGATCAAGATAGGACACCTTCGTATGGCGTATCCCTCTCTCCCTCTAGTATTGCTTTCCAAACCAATATATCATCTTCCTTCTCTGGTGTTAAGTCTTTGAGATCAGGTGCCGGATCTTTCCGAAATTCCATTAATTCTTTTATTAATCGTCTTGTTAGTGTATCTGTCATTCTCTCGGTGGGTGTAGACGTTTGGGTTTGAAATCTCAGTTTGATCTTATTAGTATGGTATGTTGAGTCACATGAGATTTGGCGTACGAGTCACTGTCGGTTACACATATTGAATGATCTTTCTCATGTTCAAATAAAGATAACAGTCAAAGCCCAAAATGAATCAAAGAAATAAGATCGTGTATATTTTGTAACGGAGTTTATTATATAAATAATTTTCTATGATATGATAGAAATTGATAAATTGATTGTTTCTTCCGTCTTATTGCTATGCGAGCAAGATGAGGTGAACTCGCACATACCAATAATATGTACCTTAAAATCGTTACAGGGGACATCGGAAATATCGAGAGCTTTTTCTCATTCTTGAACTTGGGGATGAATACGGATATTGCCCTCGAAAATATATATCAGGCGTCTTGGTCGATAGCATCCATCGCGCGTATCTCAACCAAAATTCATACTGTGCACTCATAATACTGGAAACGAACTATTGAAATTTAAAATACCACAATACATAATAGTACCAAAGCTATCACGAACCATGTCACGACAATAGTGTCCAACTACTTTGGATACCTTTGTGAAGTACGAACTACCATAAAAATTAAATGCAACCGTACTTATAGTATACGAAGGCATACAAATTGCTAATTCTGAAGGTGAGCATGATGATTTAATTCAACGATGTATAGAAATGGTTCGTGATGATAAAAATCGTTATGGCAAAAAAAGTGTATTATAAAAGAGCAGAATTTTTTGGTCTTGCCAAGGTTATGTTCCATTGTCATTCGAAAGGAAGGGACGAAATTACTCCTGAAAAAATTAGGGAACAATTCTGAGAGAGCTGGAAAAGATTATCAAAGATCCGTTAATATTAATTTTCATTCTTTTAATCATTCCCGTAAATTCTCGTAATTATTCTCTCAAATAAAAATTTCCCTTCTTATAACGGATTGTGTAAAAAAAAAATAATGTACCGTTCTTTTGACTCAAATTTGAACATGCATTATCTGTTATACTATTCTAAGGAATATAATGCACAGGAGTTTTAGTTTGTTGCTTATGTTATTCACACCCATTCAATCGGCCCCCAATAAAACTTGCGCATAATGGAGGGGTGTATAAGCTATAGACTGTTAAGCAGTATTGTAGTTCACTCTACTAACCTATTATGTGAAAAGGTTATTGCACAGTCGGGGTGTGTTGGAGCATAAAGTTATTATGTAGATATTCAGTATCACACAAAGTTTTGTCAGCGTGATGGCCACACGAAGATGTTAACTTTGCATATGCACTGATAATATAAGTTATTTTAATGATGAATTTTTTATATTCTGAAAACTAACGCATTTTAATATTTACCTTAGTTTGATAGTGCTTTTGAAGGAGTTTGTACCTTATATGATATGGGTGCAATCACGACAGATGTGGAGAAACCGCTTAGTTCGGATCAGATCAAAAAAAATGTAAATAACCTGAAAAGAAAACTCGGAAAAGACACTTCTCCACTTTATCAGCGCTTATGCTCTGATGTAAATGAGATCTCGGTTCACGATTTAACTTGGAAGGACCCCTTTGCCAGTCAAGTTATTAGCGACAAGTCAACCCTTGTACAAAAATTGCCTGGACATCTAAAAAAAGCATTTATGGTATGTAATATTAACAGGCAAATAAGATTTTCGATAAAAAACTATATACTTCATTCAATTTAATATCTGTATAGAAACCATCTCGGCTGATGAAACCTACGCTTACACCAAGGATTAAAGCCCTGTGTAGAGAATTTGTATTGAATACTTCCAGCCATAATTACTAATAGATCGCCGGAAAAGTTAACCCATGATGGAACATGGAAGGAATCCGAAGAAGAAATCACATGTGTCGTAAAGGAAATTTTTAGCGTTCTTGAGGATATTTGGAATAACCCAGCCCTTGATTCCGAAGTATCAAAATCGTTAAACGAAGGAACTTATCAATCCACTGTTATTGTACCAGCTATTCGAGCGGTATTGGGAAATCTTCCTTTTAGGACGTCTTCATTTATCAGTACCTCGGAAAGACAAAGTGTTGCTAGCGCTGATAGGAAGGGGAGTGGGCAAATGGGGAGACGTCCAGATATCATGCTAACGGTGAGGTATTTGGATGTAATTTTTGAGCTTATGTATGTCGAATGTTCCCGTTTAGTTTGTAGTCCACAAAAAAAGATCGATGACGAGGTAAAGTTATGGCGTGAGACTAATGACGGACTATATTGGACGCGAAAAACTCTTAATCCGGATAAAGATTAATTCGGAATAGTTGGGGTGCAAATAGCAGGTGATACCTTACATCTGAATGTTCTTGTCAGGGATAAAATCAATATTCATAAATATTATCATATTCAATCGGCTAAAATTCCTGTGCGAATATCAGATGAAGATGTACAGTTCAGGAAGAAAATAATGGCGGTCAGCAAAAATATTTTTACAGTAAATCTTGCAGAGTAAACGGTCGCAA